TTTTTTCTTTTTGCTTATGTGGTGCTGAGGAATCGAACCCAGGGCCTTAGGCATGCAAGGCAAACGCTCTACCACTGAGCCACCTTCCCAGCCCTTATAAGTCTTTTATAGTTAAAAGTAAAACAAATTTTGTTTCTTTGTTTGAATATTTTTTTATTATCTTTAAGTAGATGTAGACCGGAGTTTCAATTCAACTTGTTTATGAGTACAGTGCATCTTGATCAGTGTCATTTCTTCCATGCTTCCCCTGTCTTTCCCTACTCAACTCACACCCTCAAATTTCTCATTGCATTTTCACATGTACATATTGAGCTTTATGACTGCTAAGCTTTCTGGTGAATGTTACATTTAAATATTATTAGTGATAGTTTTAATTTGTAACTTAGATTTTTCTGGCCCTCTTGTAAATATATCTTTTGTTCTTTTGGTCAGTCTGGCTCTTGAACTCAGTGCTTGTGTACTGTCTCTAAGCTTTTTCCCTCAAGGCTAGTGCTCTACCACTTTGGGCCATAGCTCCACTTTCAGTTTTCTGGTGGTTAATTGGAGATAACAGTCTCATGGACTTTCTTGCCAAGGCTGCTTTGAACTGTGTTCCTTAGATGTCACCTTTTGAGTAGCTAGGATTATAGGCATGAGCAAAGGCACTTGGCTTATCTGGAAGATTTTGATTACTAATTCAATTGTATATTTTTAGAAATTCATCTTTTTTTCAAGTTAATGCATTTTCTTGGCATATAAGAGTTCATTGTAATTTCTTATGATCTCTGTGGCATCAGTTGTAATTTCTCTTTCATTTTTGATTTTGTGTTTTCTCTGTTGATAAATCCAGGTAAACTTTCTTGAGTGTTTATCTTTCAATAACCAACTCAGTTTTTTTTCCTGTTTTTCTTTTCTCTGCTTTATTTCGGCTCATAATATTTATTTTTTCTTCTAATTTTGGGGTTAGTTTGTTTTTCTTTTTCAATTCCTTGAAGGACAAAATTGGATCATTTATTTGAGATCATTTTTCTTCCTCTAGTTATTTATTGCTAAAAGCTGTTAGTATTCCCTCAGAGTACTGCTTTTGCTGCAACTTTGGATTAATAGTCAAGGATAGTCAACTGCCATTTTGAGAAATGTTTTGTTAGTTTTAGTTATGTCAACTGCCTTTTCTCTCGCTGTCTTTCTTTATATTTTGATGATTTTTGTATTGATATGCTTTGATTCATTTTGAGTAAGTTTAATACTTTTCTCTTGTAACTTTTATCCTAGAATTAGAAGTGATTTACCTACAATTATAATATTTGAGTATTTTATATATGTTCATGTATTTACATTTATCAACAGGTTTCACACTTTCTTATATGTTCTTTATTGTCTTTTCATTTCAACTTGAAGAACTTCCTTTAACACTTCTTATGAGGCAGCTGTAGTGGTGCTGAACTGCCTTAGCTTTTGTTTGAGAAAGACTTTCTCATTTATTTTTTATTTTATTTTATTCTTTTGTCAGTCATGAGGCTTGAACTCTGGGCCTGGGCATTGTCCCTGAATTTTGCAGCTCAAGGCCAGCAAGCACTCTACCATTTGAACCACAGCGACACTTCTGGTTTTCTGGTGGTTAATTAGAGATAAGAGTCTCACATATTTTCCTGCCCAGGCTGGCTTTGCATCACAATCCTCAGATCTCAGCCTCCTGAGAAACTAGGGTTACAGGCGTGAGCCACCAGTGCCTGGCCTTTCTCATTTACTATTTATTTATTTGTTGGTCTTGGGGCCTGATTTCTGAGCCTAGGTACTGTCTCTCAACTCTTCAGCTCAAGGCTAGCACTCTACCACTTGAGCCACAGCATCACTTCCAGCTTTTTCTGCTTATGTGGTGTTAAGGAATCGAATGCAGGGCCTCATGCATGCAAGGCAAGCACTATTAAGGAATCGAATGCAGGGCCTCATGCATGCAAGGCAAGCACTATACCACTGAGTCACCTTGCCTGCCCCTCTCCTTTATTTTTGAAGTACAGTTTTGTTAGGTGTGATATTCTTGGCAGGCACTTTGATTTCTTTCTTTAAGCACTTCGAAACTTCTTCTACATCCTCTGGTCACAAGATTTCAATTGAGAAATTTGCTGATATTTTTATTGGAGTTACCTTGCTTGTGACAAGTTGCTTTTTTCCCCACTTTTCAAAATTTTCTCTTTGTCTTTGACTTTTGATAGTTTGATTATACTGTGTCTTGTATGGACTTATTTGTGTTCATACAATTCAAGGTCATTTGATTTTGTAGATCTGAATATCAATCATTTATAGATTTGGGAAGCATTCCCAGAGTATTTTTGTTTCTTTCCCCTTAATGCCTTCTTAGAGTCTCGTAATATGTATATTAGTCTGCTTGATGCTATCTTATAGGTCCCGTAGGCTTTCTTCCTACTTTTGTTCATTTTTCTTTTTTTGCTTCTCTGACCAAATAATTCTGATGACCGTTTTCTGGGTTTACTGATCATTTCTTATGCTTTCTGAAATCTGGTACTAAACTCTTTTAGTTATTATTAATTTTTTTTTTTAGTGTAGAATGCTTCAAATTTGTGATCTGTGTGGTACTTTATTTTTTATTTTTTGGGTCCGGTTGTGGGGCCTGAACTCTGGGCCTGGGTGCTGTCCCTCAGCTCTTCAGCTCAAGGCTAGCGCTCTACCACTTGAGCCACAGCGCCACTTCCGGCTTTTTTCTTTTTGCTTATGTGGTGCTGAGGAATCGAACCCAGGGCCTCAGGCATGCAAGGCAAGCGCTCTACCACTGAGCCACCTTCCCAACCCCAGTACTTTATTTTTTATCTGTATTGAAATTCTATTTATTTTCCTACAACCTCATTGATCTTGGATTCTTCTGAAAAAAATTTCAGGTAAATTGTAAACTCCATTTCTTTGCAATTGGTTTGTAGAAATTTATTTTGTTTATATGTAACATATTTCTCTGATTCTTCTTCTATTCCTCTTTGTGTTGAGGACTACAGGTTAGACAAAAGCAGCCTACTGTCTCAGACTTCATAGACTAACCTCGTTAGTAATTTTTGGTCGTCATTTTGGCCAGAGATTCTAGGGCCTTTCACAACTTTCTATGAATACAACTTGTTTTATTTGTTATTTGAGGTCTGTCAGTACACCATAACAAGACTGAAGGTAGGTCTTAGAAGGTGAATTTTTGGATGCTCCACCCAAGACTCTTCCTCTCTAGGAGAAGCTGGGTGAACAAGGAGCTAGGGTTTTGCATTTGGTTGCTCTGTGCCAGAGGGTGGAGCTATGACTAAGTCCTATTTCTGTTGTCATTATTTCCTAGATGATTAGATATGCCAGGTCATAGATTTCTAAGAAAGGTAAGACAGAAATCACTCTTTTCATATGGCTCTAGAAAAAAGTTGGGCATTAGGCATTCTAGTTATTGACTTTTCCTTTCCAAGCAGAGACTGGAAGGTAGAGGGTTTTCTTGTTGTTTTGTTTTGTTTTGGCTTGGTTTTCTTCTTTATTTACTCTGTGCTCCACTAGGGATAGGAGTTATAGTAATTGTCAGCCTAAACATTGCATTCTAGTCCCCGGCAGTTAGATTTTTCCCAGTCCCGACAGTACACCATGGGAAACAAGTCAAGCCAGTTGTCTCTGTTCATGTTCCATTCCTATAACAAAATGTATGGGGCTGGGAACTTTATAAAAGACATAGGTTTGTTTAGTTCACAGTCTTTAGGGCTGAAAACCCAAGATCAGGTGGCCCATCAATTTGGCCCTCTAGGGCCCTGTTGCCTCTGTACCGCAACATAGTTGCTGGCAACATAGTGGGATTGGGTGGGAGTGGGAGAGAACATGTGATGAGTCAGGAAACAGGATTGGGATTTAGGATACAGGACTGCGCTTTTAAAATAGCTTGCTTTAGTAAGAATGTTTGATGGCACATGCCTACTCTGGAGGCAGGAAGAGTGCATATTTGAGGTCAGCCAGTCTGGGCTGCATAATGAATTCAAAGCCAGCCTGAGATACATAGATAGACTGTTTTGAAAAAGAGGGACAGAGGGAGGGACAAAAGGAAGTAAGGAAGGACAGGAAGGAAGATCTGGAGACTGGGGATGTAGCACAGCCATAGAATACTCTGTCAGCATGCACAAAGTTCAATTCTCAGTACCACAAAATAAAACCAAACCAACCAAACTCACTCTATAAGCATTCCTCGCTTCCGCAGGCAGTTCCCCCAGTGGCCTAGCTACCTTCTAGTTCTCCATGTCTTGAAGATCCCATATTGTTAGATTGAGGCCCAAGATTCCAACATACAAACCTTTGTGGAAGCATTGAACACAGTGAGTGCCAGCTGGTCCTTCCCCAGGGAGAATGCGGAGCTAGGACATTTTTTTCTTCTACTTATTCTGCTGAGCTGAAGAGGAGGACATATGGTAGGCCTTCCCCCCACAAGAGAAGGAGACAAGTTTATGGGAATGGGGAGAAATTGTTACCATCATCCATGGGATAGATGATATTATTCATGGCATAGATAATGGTACGGCTACTTTGGAAAATGACCTAGCAGTTTTTGGAAAAGTGAAACATATGCCTGCTATATGACACCACAATTCCCCTTCCACATTTGTCTGTGTGTGGGTATATGTTATGCATGTGTATGCACTGCATTTCTGAAGCTTGAACTCGGGGCTTGGGTTCTGTCCCTGAGCTTTTGTGCACAGTGCTAGCTAGCATTCTTCACTTGAGTCCACAGCTTCACTTCCAGCTTTTTATCCGTAGCTGATGGGAGGTAAGAGCCTCATGGACTTGCCTATACAGGCTGGCTTCAAACCTTGCCTGCTGAGTAGGATTACAGGTGTGAGTTATTGCGTCTGATCTAAGTATAGCCTGTTTTTTTGTTTGTTTGTTTTGTTTTAACTCTTCCAAAGAGTTTTTTTTAAGACTGACATTCTTGCCCCAGTTTAAAAGCTAAGTTTAGGGTTGGGATGTAGCTCAGTGTCAGAGCGTCCTTGGGTTTGATGCCCAGTACCAAAAAAGAAAAGACAAAATACAGTTAAAAAAAAGCTCAGTTTAGTATTAAAAAATTAATATGCTTTGTTTAACTGTTTTTCATCTCTCTACAGTCATCACTTTATAATGATGTGTAAAGGACCTACAGCAGATCATGTATCTGTGAAATCCTAAAATAAGTTTTTTGGGTGTTTTGGTCGGTTGTGGGGCTTAACTCTGAGCCTGGCCTGGGTGCTGTCCCTGAGCTCTTCAGCTCAAGACTAGTGCTCTATCACTTGAGCCATAGCATCACTTCCAGTTTTTGGTGGTTAATTGGAGATAAGAATATCATGGGTTTTCCTGCCCGGGCTGGCTTTGAACCGCGATCTTCAGTCTCAGCCTTCTGAGTAGCTAGGATTACAGGCGTGAGCTACTGGTGCCCAGCATAAGTCTTTTTGTGTAAGAATCTTTTGCATAGAGCACATGTTCTCAGAGAAACCCCACAGTTGACTTAAACCAGTGTTTCTCAAACAGAAAGGGCATGTTGCCCACAGTAAGTGCATAGAGATCAGGAATATTGTTGCACATCCTAAAATACATAGAACAAAGAGTGGTCCAAGCCAATGTGTCAGGAGAGCTGAGGTTGCTGTGAATCCACATTGAAGTGGAGTCCTTTTAACTAGGAAGCGCAACAAATAATTAGGAACATGGCCTTTGAGGCCATCCTGCCTGTGTTTGCATCCAACCTGGCCCCTTTCCAGTCCAGGCCTTCAGTAACCGATCTCTGTGCATCTGTAAATTAGGATGAAAACCTCTTAGAATAATTGTGAAAATATGTGAGTTATTACATATAGATCTTTGGGAATAGTGGCTAGAATACAGTAACCCTCAATAAATGTTAGTATTGTTAAGATATAAACTCTTGACTTCAGTAGTATGTCTTCCTGGTATCATGCTATTTGGACTTGGTCCAGGAAATCCCCAGGTTTATATATTTGCTAATTTGCAGAAACTGAACAATACATTCTCTTTGTTGCAGATTTATGTACTAGTACTTTTGTTTTAATGGCTCTTAGTCTGTCAGCATTTCATCTGTCACTTTCTCTCTCATATATGTGTGTGTGTGTGTATATATTTACTCAGTCATAGCAGAAGCCTAACTTCTATCCTTTATGTTCTTTTTTTTGTTGTTGTTGTTTTTGTTGTTGGTTATGGGCCTGTACCTCTGCTCTTCAGCTCAAGGCTAGCGCTGTACCACTTGAGCCACACCGCCACTTCTGGCTTTTTTTTCTGCTTATATATTGAACCCAGGACCTCATGCATGCAAGGCACACTCTACCACTGAGCCACCTTCCCAGCCTTATCCTTAACGCTCTAATATATCACAGTAATACATTCGAGTGTGTGTGTATCGATGAGTCTACATACTCACACACATATAATCATCTTAAGCATACTGGGTTTTAGAAAGGAACAAATGAAAAATTCTGACCTGTTTTTTTTTCCCCCTAGGCAATTCGAAGTTTTCAAATAGCCCTTCACATCTATCCGATGAACCCTGAAATATGGCAAGAAGACCTTTCTTGGGCAAGAACCCTCCAGGAGCAGCAGAAGGTAGCACAAAGAGTTAAAAAAAGTGAAGCACCATCTGGAGCAACACAGTTTTCCCCCAAGTCTATCCCTGACTATGACTTTGAAAGTGACGAAATTGTGGCTGTGTGCGCAGCAATTGCTGAGAAGCAGAAGACAGTGTCAGCAAATAAAACAATGGTTATTGTGTCAGCTTCTGGGACAGTAGAGACTGTAACTGAGAAGGAAGAGGGTGCCACACTACCAGATAACTCTGTTTTTATCAAAGCCCGATGAAGCTGTACACACCTTAAGTTATTTGAGTCTGTCTATCTGATTACTGCTTAACATTTAGACAGATACACTCTCTGGAGAGAGGATAAGACTCCTGTCCATAAAATACATTTTCTTCAGATGAGGTATATAAAAACACAATGGTAGAATTATTATGTATTGTTGGACTGTGCTTTTTAAGTTGATTTATACTTGAGGTTAAACTCCTGAGAAAAATGTGGTTTGGTTGATAAACTTAGTTTAATTTGGAAATGTTAGTGGTTACATTTAAAGATATAACTTGAAAAGTATATTCTTGGATAGTGAATAACTTGATAGTTATTGAAGTATTGACCCATTGACATTTGTTTTATAGTGAAGGGAATGTATGGTTTCTTTTCCTCCTAGAAAAATGTTGCCATTATTTATTCTTCCATCCCTCCCGCTTCCATCTTTATTGAATTAAGTCTTCAAAAAACTTGAATAATTTTACCATTCATTTTGATTCAAAGTTATCATTTGTTCTATATAGAATCTTTGAAAGGTTGCCTGAAAATGCATGCAAATGTATACATCCTGTACATATTCTTGGTGTTTCTTTCTATTCTGATTTGTGCTTCTGTGCCAGTACTAGCTGAGGCTTGAAAGGCCTGGGTACTGGCTTCTAGCATTTTTTTGCTCAAGGCCAACTCTCTACTACTTGAGCCACAGCTCGACTTGTAGTTCTTTGGTGGTTCATTAGAGATAAGAATCTCATGGACTTTTTTTTTTTTTTTAACCTGGGCTAGCTTTGAACAATGATCCTTAGCTATCAACATCCTGAGTAGCTAGGATTACAGGAGTAGGCCATTTGCTCTTGGCTTGTCTTGATATTACCTGTACCAGTAGTAGTCATCTCCTTTAGTATTTGTTAAATGTGTGAAATATTGGTAAATGTTAAATGATGTTTTTTATTGTCATGGCAGTGTAGTTCTTTACCACTACTAGTCTTTTTTTTTTTTTTTCTTGCCAGTCCTGGGACTTAAACTCAGGGCCTGACACTGTCCCTGAGCTTCTTTTGCTAAAGGTAGCACTCTACCACTTGAGCCCCAGTACCACTTCGAGCTTTTTCTGTGTATGTGGTACTGAGGAATCAAAGCCAGGGCTTGATGGATGCTAGGCAAGCACTCTACCACTAAGCCATATCCCTAGCCCATAGTAGTCACTTTTTAAATGTGCATTTTTAAGATGATGGCGTTACAGACATGTCAACAAGTTGTACTACATTATCGCACTCAAAATCACTGTTTATTTTCTTTATTTTTAGAAGCATAGAGAACCCTGCAAACATTTTTTTTTGTTGGTCATGTGAAAACACTTTTTGCTTGTAACTTTTCAGCTGATGATTTTAAATTACTTTTCTAGATTATTTTTGTAGATCTAGTCAGTGAAATGAAAAAATAATTACAATTTAAATAACTAAATAAGATTCTTCTAAAAATAAAAAAGTAAGGATATCATTATAATGCCAATGAGTGAATAACTTAAGCAAACATACATAGAAACTGGAATGTGATTTATAGTCTAATCCCACAAGTATGAGAGGGTTATGTTAAAAGAAGTAGTTTATGGCCAGGCCTGGTTGTATTACAACATTTGTGAGGCTGAGACAGAGGATTATTAAGTTTGAGGTCAGTCTGGGCTATATACAAAACCCTGTCTCAAAAATAGAAAAAAAATTAAAAAATACAAATGAGATTAAACAGGACATCAAAAAATAATTTATTAAAAGTCTGTACTTATATTCATGACCTATAATTGCTAACATGGATAGATACTTTTACATTGTACTTTGTAGTACAATCATTTAGAACTGTTGGGTCTTACTATTTCCGACACTCAGGAAGGTATCATTGGTCTAAATTACTTTTTATCAGTTAGGGATAAATGCTAACTAGCTACTGTATTTTAAAGAATCTTACCTAACACTGTTAGGCCTACATTTTTGTGAGGATGATTAAAAAAATTATTTTAGTGGAATGCTTATCTCTTTCTTTACACAGTTGAAGTCAGCACTTGCCTTAAGAAGTATTATATTTTTCCCCTAGGTTATACCACAGAAAGAGCCTGGATTAGAATGGTCAGCTTTAGAATGATTAAATAATTATTTTATTAAATAATATTCTCAAAAGGCATTCAGGTATCTTGAGAAATGAGTACTTAACATTTGGTATGTTGTCTTGTGTAATGAGTGTTTGTTGGTTGTGAAATTTGTGAATAAATAGTTTGCATTTTGAGATTTTTCCAGTTACTTTGAAATGTTAGCTTTCTAAAAATTGGATTCATTTATTTAGTTTCTTTCTGATGTATAATTCTACTATAAGAAAATGCTATTTGTTTAGCTGTTCCTATTGATCAACATCTAGGTTGCTTTGAAGTTTGCTGTATTATGAATAAAGCTGCTATCTACAAATACATTCTGTCTAAACATACATTTTCATTTCTCTTAGATAAAAGTCTAGGGATAGAATTGCAGAGTCTTAGGCTAAATATGTGAAACTTGAAAGTGTCAAACTTATCCAAAATATCTACATCCTTTTTCATTTAACAGCAGTTTTTAAAATGAAGATTTGAGTTGCTCCACATCTTTATGCTTGGTATTGTTAGTTTTTAAATTTTTATCCAGTTGAATGGATGTCTCATGGCATCTGATTGTGATTTTACTTTTCCTTGATGCTGTTGAACTCTTTTTCAGAAACTTAACTTGACATTTTTGTAACTTTTGGGGGGAAATATGTATATTAAAATGTTTTGCCCATTTTTATTTGGGGTTTCTTACTGAGTTTTAAGAAAAAAATAATATTTCTCCTCTAGCTTGCAGCTTTGTTTTGTTTGTGATCCTATTTATTGATTTATTGTGTTGGTATTGGGTTTGAATTCAGGGCTTTCTGCTTGCTCTACCACTTTAGCCCCACCTCAGCCCTCTATATGACACCTTTTAAAGTACAGACATTTTGACATTTGATAAATGACTAAGTTTTTTTCTTTGTGATTGTTTCTTCTATCTATGCTAATAAATCTATATTTATCCCTACTGATAGACCTGTTAACAGTTTTAGGTCTTGTGACTAGCTCTGGGTCTGTAAGCTATTTTAAGATAATTGTTTTTTTTTTTTTTTTTTGCCAGTCGTGGGGCTTGAACTCTGGGCCTGGGCGCTGTCCCTCAGCTCTTCAGCAGGGCGAGCACTCTACCACTTGAGCCACAGCGCCACTTCCGGTTTTATAGTGGTTTATTGGAGATAAGAGTCTCACGGTCTTTCCTGCCCAGGCTGGCTTTGAACCGTGATCCTCAGATCTCAGCCTCCTGAGTAGCTAGGATTACAGGCATGAGCCACCGGCCAGGCTTTAAGATAATTTTTATGTATGGCATGGCATAAGATAGAGGTTTTTTTTTTTTTTTTTTCTTTAGGCAGAGTTCTTCGAGTGTATTTTTGTTCACCTGAAAAATAAACTTAAAATATAGCTGTGTGCTGGTGGCTTAGGCCTGTAATCCTAGCTCCTTAGGAGTCTGAGATCTAAGAATCCTGGTTCAAGGCCAGCCCAGGCAGGAAAGTCCATGAGACTTATCTCCAATTAACCATCAGAAAACCGGAAGTAGTACTATGTGTGACTCAAGTGGTAGAGTGCTTTCCTTGAGCTGAAGAGTTCAGGGTCAGCACTTAGGCCCAGAGTTCAATCCCCACAACGAAACAAAACAAAAAAAGGTGGGTTTTGTTGTTTGTTTTGGGTCTTGAACTCAGGGCCTGGACACTCATCCAGAGCTTCTTTTGCTCAAGGCTAGTACTCTACTTCTTGAACCACAGTGCTTTTTCTGTTTATGTGGTACTGAAGAATTGAACCCAGGGCTTCATGGATGCTAGGCAAGCACTCTACAACTAAACCACATTCCAGCCCTAGACAGGACTTTTTGAGTACAGGTACATCTTGAATGGCTGAATTATAAATAATGTGTCTGGTCATGTTCACAGCAAGGGTGGGTACGAATGGTCCCAATTCCAGTGAAGTCTTTAGAGTCAGGAGACCTGCTAGAAGACCCCACTAGTGGTCTCACTGGGCTCTTTGATTCATTCCAAAGTGGATTGAAAGAGTCCAGAAAAGCAGGGGCCAGGCAGGAGACGGGCGTTGGATCTCTAGATATTCTCCTTTGAGTCCAGAGGATTCTTGGGATCAGAGATCAATTTATAAATTATTAAAATATAAGACAAAATTCACACAGTAATAAATATAAATTACACGCTACTATTGATGTTATAAAGTGGCATTTCGTGTTTCTGTTTTTTTTTTTTTTATTGTGAAAATACCATACAGAGGGGTTACAATTACATGAGCAAGGTAATGAGTACATTTCTTTTTTTTTTTTGCCAGACATGGGGCCTGAACTCTGGGCCTGGGTGCTGTCCCCCAGCTCTTCAGCTCAAGGCGAGCACTTTACCACTTGAGCCACAGCGCCACTTCTGGCTTTTTCTGCTTATGTGGTGCTGAGGAATCAAACCCAGGGTCTCATGCATGCAAGGCAAGCGCTCTACCACTGAGCCACCTTCCCAGCCCATGAGTACATTTCTTATCAAGCATTGTTTTTGGGTCTGGTCGTGGGGCCTGAACTCTGGGCCTGGGCGCTGTCCCTCAGCTCTTCAGCTCAAGGCTAGCACTCTACCACTTGAGCCACAGCGCCACTTCCAGCTTTTTTTTTTCTTTTTGCTTATGTGGTACTGAGGAATTGAACCCAGGGCCTCATGCATGCAAGGCAAGTGCTCTACCACTGAGCCACCTTCCCAGCCCCTCTTATCAAGCATTGTTGACTCCTCCTTTGTTTCCCCTTCCCACCCCTTCCCATCTCCACCCCCCACTCTGTTTTTCGACATAACGACTTGTTTTTGTTTTTGGGTCCGGTCGTGGGGCCTGAACTCTGGGCCTGAGCGCTGTCCCTCAGCTCTTCAGCTCAAGGCTAGTTCTCTACCACTTGAGCCACAGCGCCACCTCCGGCTTTTTTTTCTTTTTGCTTATGTGGTGCTGGGAATCGAACCCAGGGCCTCAGGCATGCAAGGCAAGCGCTCTTACCACTGAGCCACCTTCCCAGCCCTTGACATAACGACTTGTACATCTCATTGTTGCAATGGGTCCACCTGTATCCCTATTTAAATGAATTGTTTTTTCCCTTCCCCTCCACAAATTATATCAACATCAAATACAGTGAAAGCAGGGGTTATACCATGGGGGAGGGACATGCAAAGCAACAAAAAAACCACATGGTACATTATAAACATGTTAGAAACAATAGCAAGAAAGAAAAACCATTTGAATCCTTATCTTGGGGTTCATTTCACCTAACGTCAACTTATCTGACAGTTTCTGCTCATCTCAGACATATACTAGTTACTGCAAATAAGGGAAACCATGGGACCTGTTTCTTTGGGCCTGGCTTACTTCACTTCACATAATTTTTTCCAAGTCTTTCCATTTCCTAACAAATGGGGCATTGTCATTCTTTCTGATGGAGGCATAGAATTCCATTGTGTATATATATATTTTCTTGATCCATTCATCTACTGAGGGGCATCTGGGTTGTAAATAATGCTGCAATAAACATAGTTGTGCTGGTAGCTTTAGTGTGGTCTTGTTTGTGATCATTTGTATAAATGCTCAAAAGTGGGGTTGCTGGGTCATAGGGGAGCTCTATGTAGAGTCTTTTGAGGAAC